GATAGATAAGTAAATAAAATAGAAAACCCAATGATCCAATATAGAATAGAGATTTGAAGAAAATATGCATGTTCAATTGTCAATAAATAGAATGATTTGTTTGAATACATCAGTCATTATATACCATCCCAATGGATAGATAACATTTATAAAAAAAACATATTTTAAATTGATTCAGTCCGTGGTGAATGAATGAATGAATGAATAATGTTGGTTTTTCTGGTGTGTGTGTGTGCCACACAATATTGATCATTGATCCATTTTGTAAAAAGATAAATGCAGCATTTGTCATTGTTGTGGTTGCTGTTGTGAAAACTTCCTTAATCAATTATCACACGAATTGAATCTTCAAATAATGCAATAACCAGCATAATCCCAATGCCAGTGGTTAAACCAGCTGTTTGTATAGCTAATTGACCAATACGTGTTTGACCTGGTCTCAATTCAACGGAATTCAATTCAGGTAGCTAAAATGATGTTTTTTTTTTAAAAATAGAAAACATGAACAATATAACGAATGCAATAGAATTAACTAATTAATTCAAACGAGATAAAACCGTATGGTGTGGTGTATACTACTCACAAAGTAGGTTATAAGTAGTATGCAGCGGAGTGTTGCCCAAAAGTTAATGCTGAAGTGAGTGAGTATCTGATTCAGATGGTATGGTGAGACCGGAGTATTTTGAAGGCTAGAAGACAATTAAGAATTTGCTTGTTTTGCTAATGAAACTCTGAAGAATAGGTGTTCATATTTTTGTGGACAAACTGTATGCTCTTTAAATCAATTGCGTTTATTCTATCTGAGTTTCTTTTAAGAGTTATTTCAGTTATCAATGTAATCAAAGCTCTAGTTTATTTTACTAATGATTTTGTTGTATTTATGGTTAGTTAAATAAGACTTTATTCAAGAAGTGACATTGAGAAGTAACCTATTACTTATTATATTAATAGAAGGTTACAGAATGACATGTCTCAAAACCGTTTGCAATGTCGCCGGTGCATTCATTCTTTGTGTTCTCTCAAATCTTAATCTTCTTGATTCTTCAACACCTCTAGTTTTGACTTTCTAAACTTTTCTCACTGAATCATATTTCTTGAATATCTTCTAATCCTAACCTCTCCGATTACTTCTAATACCTTTACTACCTCTACTACTATTGGATTTGAATTGACAATTACATCTCTGTGCTGATATGGTATGGCAATATGAACTGATGTACTTACGTACGAAGTTCTACGTTATAACTGACTGACTGACTGACTGACTACAGAATCCTCAAGTGAATTAAACATAGTAAGTGTTGCTTATCACTTAAAAATTCGATTATTTGTATAAGTTGTTTTAAGGCATTAAACTGTGACATTTCTTCATAACTTTGTGATTGCTAACGCTGCAAGAGCATTTCTATCAGTTGATGAGAATTGATGATAATCATTGATTTAAACCTCTTCCACACTTATCTTGATTAATATTCATAAAAAAAATTTTAATCCACTTCTCATCAGAGTTGTTTTTAGCTTCGCTATTGAAGATACGAATAATTTATTTAAACATACATTCATAGACAATAAAATGCATCACTTTCACTAGTATCCCAGGTATTATTACTTAGTGATAACTCAAGATTTCAAGCCGTCATCTCATCATTCTCTGTAGTCATTCAATATTAAGCTAAGTGGATCACAGTGTTGATCTCTATAGACTATATCATTTTTCGATCAATAGAATCCGATTAACCCCTAAGATTAGAAACATGACATTCATTATTCTGTCATTATAAGTTCGTTTGCACAGGATCTTCCAGAAAAACTAAACATTTTATAAATCTATGACGAAAATCATACTTGGTTTGAAGAATTATGTATTTTTTCATTATGGAGTTATGGAGATAGTCGTTTTACATTGAAATCGTGAATCAACCATTATAAGAAAACCTTTAGAAACCTAATATAGTGTCCTAATATAGGACTCTTCAACAGTACGCACCCACGACCCCTGCTCATGGCAAACGAATGCATGTCCTTCAGTCTCGCGGGTGAACGCCTAACCTCCAGACCACGGAGCTGGTATGAAACGATTTTGGTGTCTAACTTTGATTAAGCCAAGGATTTCACGCAACCTCACCACTGTCTTTGGCAGATACAGCTTACAGCCGAACAGGGTTGAACTCCAGTGGTCAAGGCTTCTCACTAGAACTCCGAGAATTTCCTCACGAATCTAGTCACTATTGAGCACCTTCTATGAATTTCTTGCGATCACATGCAAGACTTAAGGTCCTAGGTCCGGTTCTTGCGAGTGGGGTCGTAGATGTGCACTGCTGAAGAGTGCCGTACTAGGACGAAACAGCCGTTCAGTGCTCCCAGGTTTCTAATGGTAGTCTAACGATGATTGATTCACAATTTCAACTATATTTTTATTGAATACATGGTTATAGGAGTTTTTATCCCTTATCAGTCATAGATTAACATGTTTAGTTCGTTACATAAGATTTTTTACGCTATCACATTAAATAGCGCTTTGTGAGACTAATACAAGCTTGTGTCTACACTTATAGTTAGAAGTAGTTGAAAAGTTGAGTGGGTTAGTAGATGGACCAGTCTCTACAAAACTATTAACATTCTGGTTCAATTTTGGTACATTTGTAACATTTCTCTGGTGAATTCAAAATCACATTTCCAATCCTCATTCACACCTACCAGATAAAATCCATCAATGGCTTTTCGTTTTTATAACTCTTTATTTCTGGAGGTTTTTTAAGTTAAATTAGTATCAATCAGTGATGTTTTCAACGTTCAGTGATTATGTTGTAGTGAATGAGAACACAGGTGGAGGCAACCGAATTGTATTTAACGAAAATTACAGAGTTACTCAGTAAAATCGGAAAACCATATCGTAAATCGTTCATTTGCAAAAGATTAGTTCATCCTATGGAACTGGACTGTTCCTGTTGCCAAACATCAATCCATTGTCACTCTTCATGCGTTTCATACAAATTCCATTGTTTTCTGACTCTTCCTTTCTTGATCTTCCCCCCATATTATGCTACCAGACTTTACGTTGACACTCACGCTATATACTACTTATAAGTAGTTCGCACCACAGCACCACAATGTTATATCATCAGGAGTTTCGACCATATTTCATGAGCATTGTATCATAGTGTACATTTTTCACTGAAGATTAAATTTTAAATCTTATCTTTCATTGTATTTTAGTACTTCTCACCTTAACTGTTAGGTTGCGTTACACTGAGATAATTATAGTAAACAACTCTAGACACTTGCGATTAGATTATCGATGAAAATTTGAAAAAGAAACAGGATGCTTGAAAGTCCTAAGCACACCATGTATATTGAACATTGAAAACAATGTTGATAACCTTGGTTAGGATAGGATAACATGAACCGAAATTTCGCGAAACAAAGGCTGTAATTGTTTTCGCTTCACAGAATCTATACATCCTATCTGTTAGGGACGTTAGTTCCCCCGAACTCACTTCATAAATGACTTAATTTTAGATTTTATTCATGGGCTGATCAGTTGAATTTGAAATCACATTTTTTATCAGGACAATTCTTGTCTGTGATTGGTCAATGTTTTATTTTAGTACGCTGGTTTTGTGACTCGCCCAAGGACTTTTTTATGATGTATAAATAAATAAACGCGATTTGTGTGCTTGGGATCATCATATTTTCTGGGTGTTTGTAGAATACACTTTCTACGCCATATCAAGACTTTTTCTACAGTTAGTTGGGGAAACGGATCAGAGTAGCCTACCGTGTCACTGGTTGATTGTCTTGTTCTCGTTTATCGACTAAGGTGAACTCGTAATAGTTTCAAGTATATCAAGTGATGAGCATAACACTATCTAGCAAAAAGGGATCAAATTTTTAAGCTAAAAATATCTAATCAAAAAGTGGTCCGATGGTAAGGCATTCGCCTACAATGCCAAAGGTCCCGGGTTCGAATCCTGCGAGGGGCAGGAGTCGTGGATGCGCACTGCTGATGAGTCCCATACCAGGACGAAACGGCCGTCCAGTGCTTCCAGGTTTCTAATGGTGGTCTACCAATGATTGATTGATGATTTCAAATGTGTAAAAACGCAAACCTCCAAAACTGTGCCCACAATTGAATTTATTTCAAATTTAAAACTGATATCAGTTTTAAATTTTTAT